CAGTCAAAGTGTGCCCCTCGACGCTCGCACCCTATTTTTTTGACAGGGAAAGTCTTCATGCTCAAACTGGGCCCCTGGCCCCCGGGTTACAACAACAACGGCTCCCGCTTGAGACTTCCTTACAATTTAGCCAGGACCCCCGCTCCCGCCCGAGACTTCCTCGCAGTTTATGCAGGAATCGCGCTCTCGCTCGGGACTTCCTTACAATTTATTCAGGAATCGCTCTCCCGGCGCTCTGCAGTCGCGCTCTCGCTGGAGACTTGCTTGCAACTTACTGAAGAATGGCCTTGCGTTGGAATTCCTTTCAATTTGCCCAAGCGCCGCGCTCCCGACACCCAGAAACCATACATGCGTTTTTTTCTCCGGCAACATTTATGTTCGCAGATGCGGAAGACAAAGACGCTCATCGGTTACTATTAAATCTCTACTTGACTACCCATGAATCGATGGATATGAGAATTACTGATGGATTCGTAGATTGCGTTTGCATGGGAAGTTTATTAACTGCTTCACCACCTGAAAGAGGTGTAGTGTTACATCGTTGTTTAACCCAGGAGTCGCGCCCGTTGTGGCCCCATGTGCATGCCCTTCGTGGCCCCGCTGTCGCCATTTGTGTACCCCTCATTGTCGTACGTGGCCCAGTTGCTACCCTCAGTGGCACCGTCGTTGCCTTCTGTGGCCCCGCATTATCTGCACTTCGTGGCCCCCGCTCGTTCGCGCTCTTCGTGGCCCCGTACGCATTCCCTTCGTGTCCCCGCTGTCGCCCTTCGTGGCCTACGTCGTGCCCTTCGTGGCCCTTCTGTCGTCCTCTCTCGCTCTCGCTTTCGCTCCTCGTCGCCGTCGTCGTCGTCGTCGCCGTCGTCTTCGGCGTCCTCGTCGTCGTCGTCGTCGTCGTGGTCGGTCCCTTGTCCGTCCCTCTTGGGGTCGGGTCGACGGTCCGCGGCCGCCCCGCCGATCAGCGCTGCCGCTGGCCAGGCCGACGGTCCGCGGCCGCCCCGCCGCTTGCGGGGGCCTGGCCTGCAGGGAAGAAAGGTCTACCCCCCAAAAGGGTTTCGATCGAAGACGAAGAGGGCGGGTATCGAGGGTTTGGGAAATACGCGTTATTGGACACTCGAGCATATAAGGGCGAACGGTCTTAAACTTATTGTTGTTATTGCTGTTATTGTTGTCGTTGTCGTTGTCGTTGTCGTTGCTGTTGTAGTTGTAGTTGTAGGTGTTGTTGTTGTTGTTGTTGTTGCTCTTGTTCTTGTTCTTGTTCTTGTTCTTGTTGTTGTTGTTGTGGTTGTTGTTGTTCTGGTGGTTGTTGTCGTTGTTGTTGTTGTTGCTGTTGTTGTTGCTGTTGTTGTTGTTGTTGCTGTTGTTGCTTTGTTTGCTGTTATTGATATTGACGAAGATGACGGTGATAATGCTAATGAAGGTGATGGTGCTTTATGGTCGCGTGGATGTCAAAGGACAATCAATATCTACGTGGGCACAGGCGGGGAACCGACCACGCTGGTGTACAGCACCAGCATGGACTTCGCAGTGCACTGGCGAGTGTTGCTGCATCCTTCCGCGTGCCGCAGCACCTGCTAGTGAACCAGGAGTGACCGGTCCCAGGCACTAAAGACCCAGAGGCGTCGAAACGATGATGGCACATGGACGCCATCGCGCGAGGAAGGGAAACGCCGCGAGGGAACCACCGCCTGAGGGAGCCGCCGTTCTTCCGCTTGGTCGAGCGCCTTCTGGTCGTCGTACAGTTCGTCCATGGTCGCTTTGCGCTTCGCCAGCGTAGGATTCGCCAGGTTTCGCCACCGAATCCAGCGCAGGATTCGCCGCGCGTGGGGGCAACCTGCGTAGGAGCCGCCGCCGCCGCATGCGCCGCCCCTGGGTGCGTAGGAACCGCCTGCGTGGGAGCCGCCGTGCGTAGGAACCGCCTTCGTAGGAACCGCCGCCGTGGTGGGGACCGCCACCGTGGAAGCCGCCTGATTGGGAACCCCCGCCTCGGGGGCCGCCCGTGTGGGAACTGCCACCGTGGGGCCCGCCGCCCCGTGAGCCGCCGCCGTGGGGCCCGCCTCCGTGTGAGCCGCCGCCGTGGGCATTGTCACTATCGGAATCGTCCCCGTGTGGACGCCGCACCACTTGGAACCGCAGCAGTGGGAGCTGCCGCCGCGGCAGCCGCGGTGGTAGCTGGGGGGGCACACCTCGATGAGTCGCCGTGGTGGGAGCCGTCGCCGATGGAGCCGTGGGAGCCGCAACCATGAGAACCGCCTCCGTGGGAACCGCGGTGGGAGCCGCCGCCGTGGGAACCGCTTCTGTGGGAGCCGCCGCCGTGGGGGCCGCCGCTGTGGCAGCAGTCTCTTTGGTAGCCGCTTCCGCGGGGACCGCCGCCGTGGAAAACGCCGCCGTGGGAGCCGCCGAGGTGGGAATCGCCGCCGTGGGAACCGCTTCTGCGGGAGCCGCTGTCTGAAGTGGGCCGCCCACTGCTGTTAGTAGGAGCCGCCACGAGTTGGGCCGAAGT